TTTTCCATTTACTCTGTCAGGAGAGGGATTCCATTTTACAGAGAAGGGAGGAAGGGGAGCCTGGTTCCAAAGGCCTGTTTGTTCTCATTATTAATTTTCCTCTCCTCTTCCAAGTAGAGTTTGAATGATTTTGAATGTGCACTCATTTGGAACGGCACCCTCCTTCTCTTGTTTCATGCCTGGCTGCAATTAAAGTCAAAAACAAAATTTGAAAATACAACTTTATTATAGAGTGGAAGAATTGTTGATTCAGGGACTAGCCTGTAATCTCACAACATTACAAAAAAAAAAAAAAAGGAGAAGAAGAAGAAGAGAAAAAAAAGGAAGAAAGAAAAGAAAAAAAAGAATACCAAGCTGCTAGCTAGTGGGTTCGGTCTCACCAGCAGAGACTCGAAACTCCAGAATCAATAACTCAGTTAACTTTGCCTGTTTCTAACACAATTATAAGAATTGGAAAGTTGCCCAAAGGAATTAAGGTCTTACGAGAACAGTGATCCCCACCCCCTTTTCTAAGGAAGTGCTCGAGTGATAAAAGCAAAATAACTGAATGGGGTGGGGCTCAGCAGTTTCCAGTGTCAGATCAGAGAGCTGGAAGAAAGCTCAGAGGTCATCTGGAGGCCATTTCACAGATGCAATAACTGAGACCCAGGGAGGAAGGAGTTTACCCAAGTTCACATGTTGCGCATGAATCTTGAAGCATTTCCATTATGATTTCTTCCTCCGTGCAAGAAATATCTACTGAGAGTCTCTTCGAGGCCAGACATTGTGCTAAACATGGGGAGTTCATGGATGAGCTAAGCTGACGTGTTCTCTGCTCTTACAGAGTTTACCTTCTATGGTGGAGGTGGTCAGTCAACAGGTAAACCAACAAATAAGGATGGAATAAATGGCCAGAACTAAAGAGAGGGCAGTGGTAGAGAGCTCGCTTTCCGGGGTGGTCAGGCAGGGCGACTGAGGAAGAGGAGGGGACGTTCTCAGGGGGGGGGGGGGGGGAGCTAGCTTAGAGACCCCGAGACAGGGATGAGCTTGGCAAATTCAAGAAAACAAAGGGAGCAGAGTGTGGCTGGGGCACAGGAAGTGATATGACGCCCACATCCTAAAATAGAATAGAACAGTGCTTGCCCTCATGCTCCTAGCACCTGAGAGGCCACTGGCCCTGGGCAGAATGGGGGGGGGGGCTGGAACCTAACCTCCAACCCACTCGCCCTGAGAGCTGGGACACCTGGATCCACACTCACCTGTTCGCATCGTGTATGAAAATGGTTTCCACTCACCAAGGAGAAAGGCGTTGGCCCAGACTTCATACCAGACTTAATGCAGCCACCAAATCAGGAGAAAACCATGTCAGGGGGAATGTGGCTGTGGTGAGAAAGGTCTGGAGAGGAAGTTGCAGCATCACAAAGTGGGAAAGAGCACAATCTTTAGTCAGGCACCCTTGCAAAGAGACGGGCTTAACCGCCACGCAGCTGGGCATGTTGTCCGATTTCTCGGAACTGTAGCTTTCTCCTCTGTAAAACAGTTACCTCACTGTGGAGTTGGGAGGAATAGATGGGATCCTGCTCATAAAGAGCTTAGCACCCTTCAAACCCTCACCCTGAGCCACGTACTAGCATCTGCTTTCTTGGATGCGCACACCAACGGGCATTCTTGGTCCCTTGCCCCAGCTAGGCCCCCAATTCCACAACCCCACTCCACCATCCTCCCTTCAGTACTGGCCACCAGAGACCCACCTGAATGAGAAGCTAATACTCTGGGGCCCAAGGACCATTTGGCACAAGGCCGCATAGGCTGCCTGCCCAACCCCCACCCACCACCCTGTGAACCCCACAGCAGATGACCTCAGCAGAATGAATGAAATGAATAGCACTGTTTTTGTTTAAACACCAATGAGGTGATGTCTGGTTTTTATTAAATATCATAAGTAAATAATTAATTCATACCAGAAACAAAAAGTATAAACATGGCTGTATTATAAACAGTCTGCCCATCACACCAAGGGCCCCTGTTGGCTACACTCTAGAACCATGGGCTTAACTGGCTGGAGGCCTTAGCTGCACTGAAATCCCAGCAAGCAAGTGTCCTGGTAGGTAGGGAAATAGGCTGTTCCTCTGCTCAACTCTGCACAACCATCCTCTACAAAAAAGTCCTTGATCCTGTCACTCACCATTGAATAACAACGGTGATAATTATATCAATAATAATATTTCTGAAGCCCTTGTTATGTGCTAGGTCCAGACTGTCCACTAGGGCAGCCATTAGCCACATGTGGCAATTCCACACCTGAAATGTGGCCAATCAAAACTGAGATGTGCTGCAAGCATAAAGATTATACACCGGGAGTGCCTAGGGGGCTCAGTCAATCCCAGGGTCCTGGGAGCAAGCCCCGCATTGGGCTCCCTGCTCAGCGGGGAGTCTGCTTCTCTCTCTCTCTGGCAAATAAATAAATAAAATCTTTTTAAAAAAATTATCCACCATATTTCAAAGATTTAGTATGAAAAAAGTAAAATATCCCATTAATAATTTTTTATGATTGCATATTGAAACAATATTATTTTGTATATATTGGGTTGAATAAAATATCTTAATAAAATTAATTTCACCTTTTTTAATATGGGTACTAGAAAATTTTAAATTATTTACATGGTTCTCATTTGATCTCTAATGAAGAAGCAACCAAGTGCAAAGCATGATACATGCATTATTTCCTTCCAGCTCCAGAGTAACCTGTTCAGGTAAGGACAGTTATTATCCCCATTTTACAAATGATAATTCTGAGATTGAGTAGTTCTGACTTTAATCCCTCACAGCCTGGAGACTGTTGAAGTGTTCTGTAGATACGTCCTTCCCTGACTTTCTTCACTAAATTCCATTTATTCTCAAGGCTTAGAACTGTGTCTTTCTCCTCCATGGAAGTCGTCAAGGGTGATTGGACCCCTAACAGTTGTCTTCTCTCTCTCTCTCTCTCCTCTTTCTCTCTCTCTCTTCCAAATGCCTGACCATAACCCTTCTTGCCTACTCCCCACAATTAGGGACATAAATAGCATCTGCCCTGTCCTATACACTTCCTGTGTCACATCGGTTGCCTTTTTCTTTGCAAAATAGTATGTTCTCATGCACTGTTTTTCAGACTATGGGTTGTAACCCCATCATTGGTAGGATGTAAAATCAATTTTGTGAGCCATAACTAAAAACTTTCAAGGAATGGAATAGAAGAGCATAGAAGAAAATAGAAGGTGGGGGAGGGAATCAGCATACATGACGCAGTGAAATATTGTTTCCTAGTGTGTGTCCCGGGTCATGATGTAATGCGTATTTCTGACTCTGCAGCTCAGTCCAGATGAGTTTGAGAAACACTGTGCTTGTGGCTAAAGGCGTGGGTTCCAGAGCTGGGCTGCCTGAGTTTGAGTTCAGTTCTATCACTAGACATGCATATCGAAGTAGTTTCCTGATTTGATTCATTTGGCATTATAAGAAGCAAGCTGGTGCTGAGTATTTTTACATGGTTATGTAAGCAAAGATGAGCTGTAAATCTTCATTCAGGAATGTGTGTGAGGATTACAGAAAGGATGCAAGATTATTGGGAGGGGAAGAAAGTGGGTATGACTAACTGGAGCTTTCAGGGTCCCATGATCTATCCTTTCTTTGAAATTTTTTAAGGAAAAAATGGGAAGATCATTTCATTGCAGTCCTCCATTCTTATTTTTAAAAGAACAAGCCCCAAGCCCTGCAAATGGCTTATATTGAAATTTCATATTTGAATTAAAGGTTGTAAAACATGGTGGGGGTGGGGGGAGTGCTGATTGTACTCCTGCCTCATGGGGCTGTTGGAAGGATGAAATGAGAGATGCACGGAAGAGTGTACGTAGCCCAGGGACTGACACACAAAGCTACCAAATTGCTTCCCCCAGCAAAATAATAATAATAATAATAATAATAATAATAATAATAATAATAATGTGTGATTAGGATTCCCTTGCTCAGAACCTCCCATGGCACCTTATTGTCTACTAGATAAAGCATTGGCATCTGATTCTAGAATTCAGGCCCACCTCAGTCTGATCCTAAACTACCTCGGCAGCTTTGTTGCCCATGTACCAGGAAAGGTTCACCTTTCCCTACAGCCCCACGGGCTGCCTGCCTGACCGTAGCGAGCCTTGTCCATTTCTCCCCCTGCTAACACCGCTCTCCTCCTCCACCTAAATTCTCCTCTTGTCTGCTCTCTCTACCTGGTCAAGGTCTGGCAGCTTTCAACACCAAACTCAGCCCCCACTCTTCAGCAGAGCTTTCAGTGATCTCTTTTCGGACTTCTCAACCAACTCACTGGTCTCAACTATTGTCTTTTTTTTAAGTTCAAGAGCCCGCCATTGCACAGGGTTAAAGAAAAGCAAGGCGGAGAAGGGAGAGCGCTGATAAGGGAGGAGTTGTCAGTGGATCCTCAGAATCTCCAGGAGGGATGGTGCAACCATGGACCGCCAGGCGCCACCCTCGGAGTTTTTGATTCAGTAGGTGTTGGGAGAGGGAGGATTGAGAATGTGCATTTGTAACAAGGTCCCGGCTGATGCTGATGCTTCTGGTCGGGGAGCCACACTTGGAGAACCACCGCTGAAGTACTTCAGAATATGGGCTCCGTAAGATGGGCTTAGGGCAACATGGTGCCAAATGCTCTACAAACTCAGGATTCAAATCTGGCCCCCCTTTTTTTTTGGAAGTTAATCTCTGCTTTGATACCAGAATGTTCTATATCATTCTTTTAAAACGTCTCCCCACATACACCCAGAACTCCAGAATTTACTGAGTAGAGAAGGAGTTACTCCTCTTGCACCGGCCGCGGCAACGCCATGGCAATCAGTTTACCGCTGCCATTGCTTCTCAGGAACACACGGGGGCGCTGTTGAGGACTGGTTCCACACCGCGACTGGTGGTTGGCCGTTGATAACTGGGTTGTCCTAACTGGTCCATGCGCCTGCTGAGGTGCACTGAACCCTTGTGTTGGGCTTTAATGTTACAGCATTTTTCCATTAACAAGCTCACAACCAGCCATTTTTGACCAAAGCACGACCACTGTGCTAAGATAGCGGGATCCAAGTTCAGATCATCAACCAACCACTATGCCAAAACCAGCCCACCTCTGTGGATTTTCAACACTTTGAGTTGAACTTAAAGATGATTCTCCTCGAGGTAACTATTTTAAGGACTCCGTTGTCCTGTCCCACCGTTGGTAGGGGCCATCCAGAACCTCCTAGATAGCTCTAAAAGAGATTGAGAGCCATTTACACAAAACTGACCAATTCTCTCCAGGCACAGCTTTACATAACAAAAGAGAGAAGCAGCTTTTGGTAAACCACTCAAAAGAACAAAAAGGTGTTCTTTATTTCTTTTCCCAAGACAATGGAAGTCTATTTAGGCTTTTCATTTGCACATTAAGAGGGGCTTTTCAAGAGCCTTTATCCTGACCCAGCTGACCTACTCCAGAGACTCTGAGCCAGAAGCCACTACCCCATTTAATTTTTGCTTTGTCAAGCACCCAACCCACCTTCAGTTTGCGTCTGTAACGTCAGTCTGCCCTGAGTGGGTCATAATGACAGTTTAGTGGATTGCAACTCTACTCTTTTTTTACTAAATTAAAGTGGAAAGTAAAGGAGTATTTTGCATGTGTTAAAGAAAGAATTGATGCATGGAACTTTTATTTTCCCATGTCTATACTGGTTCAAAATTTTAAGTGCATTCAAGTTGGGAGCAAAGTCAAAAGATTTGAGTCCACTTCTTTCTGCAAAAGATCTAACTTGTTACTCAAACATTTCCCCCTTTTTTTGGTGTTCTCTTCATTCTTTTGCCTAAACTGTTGGAAGCCTATTTTGGTCCCCTCTTCTGGCCTCCAAGGTCCCAGAAGATCCTTGCCCCCGTTGTTTTGCAGTTATCTAAGTACTCTGGGACCCCTCCTCCTTCACTATCCACCCTCCGTAGACCTTGAGGTCCTTGAGGGCAGACTGTGTCGTAATCCCTACTGAGCCCCCAGCGTTGGCACACAGCACTGGCACAGTAAATATCGGCTGAATGTCCCCAACGGGCCCTCATGAATTGTTGTCTTTGGCACCTTTCAAATACCTTATGTCATAGTTGCTAGAAACTCTTCCCCAACCGTGGTAACTTGGTGTACATCTCTATAGCTCATCCTTTTCTCTTAGAATATAAACCCCTTAAGGGCAGAGAACACCTCTTATTCTTTGGATCCAGAGTCCTCAGAGAAAACTGAATGTAAAGGCGTGTGCACTATAAATCCCAGTTGATGGATGGAAGGTTCTGCTGAGCAGAGTATAGGAGATTAGGCAAGTCGGCTTTCTTTAATTCACTCAGTGTGTTCCAGAAAGTAAGGGTGTTCAACAGGTTATATTAAATAAAGCAAGATAACATAAATTAGAAGCCAATGAGAACTTCTGAGAATTTTAACTGAAAGATCAATATATATGCATAAAGATTCAGCTCTCCAAGTATATACTAAAACCTTTTTTTATAAAAAGAGAAAAAAAATTTTAGCAACAGGGCAAAATTCAACAATCCTACATTGGTTGAATAAATTATGGGACACCTACAAGACCAAAGATGTGCATAATATAAGGTAAGAAGTGGTATTGCAGAGGACTGTTCTAAAATACTATATATGGTATTGATTTCATTTTGTAAAAGACATGTGTATACCAATGGAGGCTGGGGGAAGAAGAAAATAACACCAGAACATGAATGTGGTTCTTTCCAGGTGTGACTAAGTGATTTTTACCAATTTTGTGTTTGTCTCCTGTGTTTTCTACACTTTCTAAAAATGAATTTATATTACCTTTGCAAGAGGACAGTGTAAGAAATTCTGTTCATTTGTTTGTTTTTGTTTTTGTTTTTGTTTTTGTTTTGTTTTTTCTTTCTTAAATAGGTAGACCAAAAGAAAGGAAAGTAAGAGCAGGGAGCTAAGAATGAGGCTTCTTCCAAAAATGAGTCCGTAAACGCTCAAACAGGCAACTCACAAGTTTGGCTCTGAGCTTTCCAGCAACTCACACAAAAAGGGAAGTGGGATCAGCTGCATAACTCGAGTTGTCCAGGGAAAAACTGTACTCCTCTTGATTACATAGGTATCTATCAGTTTCTCCTTTGAAGCCCTCTGAGGATGTTGTGCAATGTAATTAATAACATCCTCTACAGATCCTATCATCCAGAGTTTCCTAGAGTTGGCTTGCAGTAGAGCAGTCTCTAAACTAGACTACCGCGCTCCCTGCCCTCATTCCAAGGATGGCCTTGGGGCAAGGGATTTAATTCCTCACTGAGTACCTCTACTTATTAGTGGTGATTAATTACTTCATATCTAAATAACTGGCAGTTATTAACAGCCACAGTGAGCAAAAATAGTTATTAATCCATCCTAGCCTCTGGCTGGCTTCTCTGAATGAGTTGACTCCCTCCCCCCCCCCAAATTGCCAGGAGCCCCTTTCCAGGGGTGTGGTCTCCTCAGACCTGCACAGCAGCAAGGCCCTCGGGTGACTCAGTGACTCATCTACTCTCCCACCTTGACTTCACCCCGGAGTACAGAGGCAAGAAGCCAGAAAGACTTAATTGTTAAATATCTCCTATCTAAAGTCCAAAGTACCCAATAAGACCAAATTAGTGGGCTTTTCCTTCACAGCTAGAGCTCTTGGAATAGACATGTGGAGAAAAGAGAGAAAGGCAGCAGAAGGGGCATGTAGACTCCAAGGAAGTTCCCCAGTCTGGGATCCCAGGGCCTTCTCCATGGGACGCATTGGGGCTCAGGGTCTTTGACTTTTTACGACACCCGCCCATAAAGGTGCTAAGGCTCACAAGTGAATGTGGGAAGGTGAGAGGGCTTCTGAATTGGGGAGCAGATCATCTCAGTGCCATAGGTGAGAGAGGGCACAAGCAAAGAGGGGGCGTAAAGAGATCCTTATCCACCCCTAAACATCAGGGAACGCCTCCTGGCGGAGGTGATATCTGAACTGGGACTTGAAGCATGAGTATGGCTTTGCAGAACTGAGGAAAAGGTCAAGGGCATTCCAAGGAAGCCAAGGCACGCTGTCCTCCTCTGGGAACTTCCCATCATCTCCTATTGCCAGGGCATAAAATTCAGAATGGGATGGAGACAAGGCTAGGAGAAGCCAGGTCACGGAGGGCCAGGGATGTAGCTCCAAAGAAACAGGCCTGGGTTTATGTACACGAATGCCAAGACCAGGCAGGTGATGCGAATCGGTGCACTGGCCTGGAGACAAGAGAGGATGATGGACAGTGTAGCAAATCGGAGTGCTCCTGAGTCACCCAAAGAGGCTAGTCATACTTCAGCCAGTTGTTACTGTGGGAGAATACAGAACTAATTGCTAGATGTCCCCATTGTTTAAGAGACGACAAATCCAGATCCCTAGGTACTAGTCTCCCCATTTGTAAATGCTGGTGACTAATTCAAAGTTAAAACACAGGTGGGATGCCGGGGTGGTTCAGTCAGTTAAGCGTCTGCCTTCGGCTCAGGTCATGATCCCGGAATCCTGGGATCGAGCCCCGCATCGTGCTCCCTGCTCAGCGGGGAGTCTGCTTCTCCCTCCCCCACTCCCCCTGCTTGTGTTCCCTCTCTCGCTGTCTCTCTCTCTGTCAAATAAGTAAATAAATAAATAAAATTTGTTAAATAAATTAAAATAATTAATTAGAATAATTAATTAATTGAAATGAATAAATAAAAATAATTAAAATAAAATAAATAATTTAAAATAAATTAAAAAAAACAGAAATACACATAAAACAAAGTTACATGTTGACCGCTTGAAAAAATGTTATGGTCAAGCCTCACAGGAACATAAGCCTGTATTTCCCTTCGGGGCAACGATTTGCTATTTGCTAATTCAGTGTGCTGTGACTTTAGAGAACACAACTATCCCAGATAGTGAGAATTGGCTCTATATACATATGCACTCACCTTAAGGTTGCTCTTTTTTTAGTTCTACCAAATCTGATTAACTGTGTTTTCAAATTAAATATTTTGAAAAAGATCTTTTTTTAATTGCAGGGGCGGGAATACTCTGAGCACATGATGAGGAGTAGGAGTTTAAAAATATATGTAGCAGATTTTGTTTTCTCTGCTCCAATCAATTCAGGATAAACTTTTCCACTGAAGCGAATCTTGATATTGCTGACTCTTCCGAGGCAAGCTGGCTTTGGGGAATAGATTCAAATCTGCTCCCAATTTAATGTTACTCAGTGCTGAAGTATTTATAACTTTGTTTGCTGAATCATTACAAAGTATCTGAGTAAAAGAAAATTAATCAAGTCCTGAAGTTTTTATGCCCCCAGGGGTTTTGGGGGGATTAAATGAACAGAACTTTGTTTTATTATAATTGGTTTTCAACCTTCATCGGTGTCTACAGCCCTTAATGTAAGTAATTTCATATTGATCCTGGAAAGTTGGGTTCCATTTGAGACTTTTCAATATTCTTTCATTCCTATTGCTAAGGGTCGATGAAAAAAATGAAGTGAAATGAGGTGAAATGAAAAAAATATATTTTACACACACACACCCCCAAACAAAAACCACCCTAAGCTTTTCAGTTTGTTTGAAAACCATTAGTAAATTCTGTCAAGTTGGCTGCCCAAGGTCATTTCAACCTCACACCGTCTATTTTTAAACTTTCAGTTGTGAGTGGGAGATTCAGAACTTTCAGCTAGAAAACAGTGCTTGGGCTAAAGCGGGTGCAAGTGTGACTTCTCTGGGTTTTAAAGAACTGTTCTTCAGATCATGGTTTTCATCAAAGTCATTCTGTACGTTTTTGTAAACATTTTTAATAAGAAAAAAATTTAAAAAGCAGAAACAATCTGAAAGGTTCCTCTAAATATGGAAACATTGGGATGAATGTTATGTTTTTAAGGCTCTTACTTAGGAAAACACTAATTAAAATTAATTAAAAAGTCCACACCGTATATCTTATGGAAGGGAGACACTTCTTTACTGCTTTCAAAAAAAAAAAATTTTTCACTATCCTTCAGCCGTAAGAATGCAAGAAGATAGGTTTTCTTTTGTTCTTACTTTGGCTTGCTACAACTCTACTCTTCATTTTTTTTTAAGATTTTATTTATTTATTTGACAGAGAGAGAGAGTACAAGTCGGGGGAGCAGCAGAGGCAGAGGGAGAAGCAGACTCCCTGCAGAGCAAGGAGCCCAATGGGGGACTCGACCCCAGAACCCTGAGATCATGACCTGAGCCGAAGGCAGACGCTTAACCAACTGAGCCACCCAGGTGTTCCTCTACTTTTCATTTTGAAAATGATTTGAAAACAAGAAAGGGGGATGGATCTAGCTCTCTGAGTGCAGAGCTTAGCCCCTTCCCTTACTGGCTGTGCAATTTGGGCACATCACTGGGCTTCTGTGGCTGTTCTTCTGGGACACGAAGCTCTGACACCTGCCGTGCAGCCTTCATCCACGTCCAGCCGTTGACCAGATCACCCAGAACATAACAAGTGCTCAGTACAAGTTGGTTGTTGTCTGTAAAACTTGCACCCTCCAATAATCATATTTATAATGGGGGCGCTGTTCTCACATTAGAACAAAATGGCCAGTGATACTTTAACCAGTGTGTATTTTTAAAGACCCAAGGCATGTTCCTGAGGGACAAATACAGGAATTTTCCACCCAGAGTCCTTGTTTACCAAATACCTGTGGGCAAATACAGGTTTGTCCTTTATTAAAAGGGAGATGGGGCAAGAAGAAAAGAGAGGAATGCCTCCATAGAAAGCCAGTTTGGTGCAGATTTTCTGAATAAAAAGAAGACCAGCTGCCCTGACTCCTGATTGTTTTCCTGTGGTCACCAAAACTATAGATTAGATATCACTGGAACTCCCATTTCTACGACCTGCCCCATGAATGCTTTCTTGGATGCAGGAAGAGAGAAAATCTCCTTCTCAATTCTCCCTTTGGACTTCCAATAAGAACGTTTTTTTAACAACAAAAAAGCAACATGGGGAATGATGGCCAAACCCATGGCCACTTCTCTCTTGAAATAGAACTTTTTTTCAGGCAGCAGTGTGCACGGCCTAGGGAGATGATCCAGGATGATACATGAGTTTATATTGTGTATCTGCAGAGTGACTCCTGGACCCTGAAAATTGTGAAGCCATCCTGTCATACTTCAAATTCAAGCTTTGCCACCCAGCAGGTGTCTGATCTGGGTAAGTTTACTTCTCTGCTACTTTGTCTGTAAGATGGAGATAATAGCCCTCAGAGGTTAAACGAGTTATCACATGAAAAATATTGCTTAGGATAATGTCTCGCACTGTGTTCATATCATTATTATTAAATATTACGTCTGAGAATATTAAGGGTCTGCTAAACCATTTTTACATCTGTATCTTACCTGATCATATGACCATCCTTCAAACTTGAAATTGACAGCCAACGGGGCCTTTTGTATGGGCTACTCATAGGGAAATGGATTAGCAATATTCTGTCCAGTCTTCCCAAATTCCACCATTGGGTAAGGGCACAGCCAGGTGGCTTATGCAAACTCTTCCCAGGACAACTGGAACATGATGCTAGAGGACCCACTGCAGGTGTGTCTCTTGGCAGAAGAGCTAATTCCAGGAAGCATGTCTCCTTGTCTTCCAGGATGAATGACTCCCTCGCTCTTTTAGGTGTGGACCCAGGTGGTTGGTCTAGCATCGTACACAGTTCTGTTCACATTCATTCTTAATTCAGTTAAACCAATACCAGGACAGATGCCATTCAATTCTGTTTCCACATACTCCTGGCTGAAGTAGCCTTCCTCAG